CCACCCCACCCCCGATACCAAGACTCTCCCGCACATGCACATACCCCCGCCGACTCAGCCCCGCCTCCGCTTTATACCTTGCCTTCTCAAGCCGCGGCTGCCACGAGCGCGCGAGCTTGCTCAGCGGGTTCTCGGCGCCCGCACTCCCGCCTGCACCCCCACTGCCGGAGGAGGAGAGCCCCTCGGGCGTGGACCACGACGACCCAAACGACGCCGTGGACATGGACATGGACGCCTGGGAGAGGGACGTCTGGCGCCTATGCCCGTGTGACGAGAGCGACGTGTGCCTCGACAACCCCTTACCCGGGCCCGAGCCAGGCTGCGGTGGCAGGACGGGGACGGGGTCATCAAACACCGACCCCGAGCTGCGCGGCACCTGCACGCTCTCGGGACGGCGGCGGCGCGGGGGCGGGGGGGTTGGCGGAGGCGGCGGGTGCGGGTGCGGGTAGTGCAGGGATTTAGAGCGGAAGAGGCGGGAGGAGGGCGAGGTCGGGGAAGCGGAGCCTGAGCCTGAGGCCTCCGTGTGCGTGTGCGTGTGCGAAGGCGTGGCGGGCGTGGAGAACGGGAACGCGGGCGGCTTGCGGTCCGGGTGTGTCGGCGGGCGCTGGGCGTGGTTGGGCCCGTACGTGTGCGGGGGCAGCTCAGACGCGGTGGAAGTTGGCGAGTCGCCTGGGGACGCGGTGAACGGGTACGACACGTCTGGGAGCGAGCGGTGGTACGGGTTGTTCGTCTGCGGGTGCGGGTGTGCGTGTGCGGTGGGGAACGGGTTCGTCAGAGACGGAGGAGGCGGGGGAGCAGGGCGGTGAGCAGGAGGAGCACTGGCGTTGGCACCGAAAGGCTCGGCCAGCGCGACCTGCTCGAGGGAGCTGACGGACACGGGCGGCGACGGCTGCTGCGGGTTCGTGTTCCTGCGCTTCGGCAGCGGCGGCGCGCTGCCCCTCTCCCTCCTCCGGCCATAATCTTCACTCGAGCTCGACACGGACATCTCGACCGAACCAGGTGCCGACACCCGCTCATGCTCGTGCTCGTGCTCGTGCTCGTGCTCGTCGTTCCCAAACGGCGGCGCACGGTGGTACGCATGGTAATGGTGGTGCGAATTCTTAACCTGGGTGCCTACGACAACCGATGAGCGCGCGACACTCGCGCCGGACAGGGAGTACCCACCCGAGACCGCCGCGCTGCTCTTGAGCACCTGCAGCACGCGCTCCTGCTCCAGCTGCGACTCGGCGCGCTTCATCGTCTGCGCCGCCTTGCTCGCCTGCAGCGACTGCTTCATCAGCGTCGACGTGATGTGCGAGGGCTTTGGTGGGACTGCCGGCGTCCCGAGGCCGCGTGTGGGGGAGACGGAGGTGGGGAGGAGGATGGCGCTGTGTTTCGGAGGGGCGGCGAGCACGGAGGCGATGGGCGGTGGTGGTGGCGGGGGCTTGCGTGGTGGGAGAGGCGGCCGGCCGCCGTCGGTGGAGCTGCGCACTGCGAACGGGTTGTGTGGCGATGGTGTAAAGGGGTTGTGGCGGTCTTCGCGGCGGGGCACGGCTGGTGGGGACTTGAGCTCAGCCATGGACCGTTTGGGCGATGCTACAGCCGGTCTTAGTCGAGAAACAAGACGACTTTGGGTTAGATACCTTGTGGCGACGACGATTCTCCACCAAAGCTGCGTGCCAGTTCTGGGACTGGTCGTTTTGGTGATACTGGAAAACAGGATGAGCGCCGACCAACATCAAGTCCTGGTAACGCACCTTGGGCCTTTTGAGGTTCCGGATTAGTGTCAACGCTGCGCCGCACTGCCAACAAAGTCAAAATGCGTCCCTCCAAGGCCCAAACCACGTACCTTGGGAGAACAACTCTTCAGCATGTTTCGATGTCCCATGAGCAAACGTTCGTGCGATGGACGCTGGCGTCGGAGGCGCCACCGAATCGCGGCGGGGCACAGCTGGCGCTGATGCTGCTTCTTTTCAGGAAAGATAAGACGCATATACGCAGGTACAGTAACACATACCGCGTCCTCGATCAGTCTCTTTTTCTCCAGCCGCAGAACGATTCTCAAACGCGCGTGCGATCGATGCCGGTGTCGGCGGTGCAGGTCCCGCCGAGTCCAACGACGGCCGTCTCGGAGACGCTGCCTGCGATGGGTGAGCTGCAAGCAGTTAGTTCCGGAACGACTTCCCAAAGTTGAGCCCAAAAACGCACCCTGCACAAACGCCAGCCCGCGATCGACGTCCTTCCCACTCTCGACGTGCACCACGAGCCTCAAGACCGCAAAGAACTGCCCGCCCGTGAGCACGTCCGCCGGGCTCAGGCCTGGCGAGAAGAACCTCAGTATCTGTGTCGTTCATTACTGTCAGTCAGATTCCAGATGACATGCTCCGGCGCTGATCACCCACCGAGTCGATGCTCCCCGCAGGCAAGTGCGAGTACCGCCCCCTGATCCAGCCGCGCGCCTCCCTCACTCCAATCTGCATCTGCTCGTAGTACGCATCGTCGTGCCCGTGCCCTTCCCCGTCTGCCCCATCGTCCTCCGCGAGGTCGTTCAGGCTCGCCGTGTACAGATCGTACTCCTCGTCGTTCAGCGCAGAGGCGTGCAGCGTCAGCGGGCGCATCGCAATCGTAGCTGGTGGTGACGGATGTGCACAGTGTAGTGTTCGAACTTCGAAATTCGGAGCCGGGTAGTTGCTCGGCTGCCTTACGTACTTGGCGTTGCGACATCCTGCCCAGTGCCCGCGCCGAGACCCACGGATCGTAACATCTGTCAACAATAGGCGGCGCCGCCAGTTCAGCGCTCAGAGTCGATTTTTCCTGTCTCATCTGTGTCGGATGCATTCGCTTTGCCAGAAACCGCGTCTCCTTCCATCGCTCTATCTCCATGGCGTGAACTGTGACAATGACATACTCAGACACAGACAGACATGGATCTGAATTAGACAAGCAAATTCTACCGGTTGCCATGGATGCCTGGTGGAAATCACTTCCTTGAGGCTTGATAAATCATGATATTTTAGCTGGAAGATCAGCGTGGCCACTCAGATGCCACAATAAAAGAGTTCTACCCTATGGAGACTGTGAGGATTGAACTCACGACCTCATGCATACACCAACAACGGTGCGAAGCATGCGTGCTACCACTGTGCCAAGACCCCATGGTTCACGGGATATCCTCCTGGAGCTTGAAATTACTCTGAGAGTTTACTTGTATCGGTGCGAAATGACTAAAATTTACCCTTGAGTCACCGACCACTGCAGGGCACCAGTGGCCAAGTTAACTGGATTTTCTAACCACATAATCTAGCTCCATATCACTGTCGAGGAGTCTCACCACCAAGTACCTCTCGGTGATCACTACCTCTCGAATCTTCGAATTCTCAACTTTGCGACTTCTCTCCAAGCCTTCCCACTGAACTGGCATGAAACCCGGGACTCACAAGGTCAAAAAAGACGGATCCCCCCTGAATCTATGGCGCATATTCTAGTTACCAGCGCGCGCTGACACACCCAGACCGCAAGCTGCCTTCGTGCCCGTTCTCCACGCCCGCGACGCCCTTGCATACGCACACTGATGCCTCCAGTTCTGGCTCTGGCTCCCCGACTTCACCCTGGTCCCGCCTCTTCCTCTTCAAGTCCCTACACTGCCGGCACGCACCGCTACTCGTAGTCCTGTTCTCGAGAGCGTTCACCGGTGCAGCTCTTTTCAGTGCCGGTGCCAGTGCCAGTGCCGGTGCCAGCAGCGCTCCTCATGGCCACCGCCCTGCTCCTCCGCATCCTCCGCCTCTGACGAACCCCTTCCCCACCGCACACCCCCACCCGCACGCACACGGGCACGGGCACACGAACAACCCGTACCACCGCTCAGAAGCCCCTAAGCAAGCTCGCGCGCTCGTGGCAGCCGCGTCTTGATAAGGCACGGTATAAAGGGGAGGCGGGGCTGAGTCGGCGGGGGTATGTGCACAGTGCATGTGAGGGAGAGTATGGGGATGGGGGCTGGGGTGGGAAGGAGTGGGGAGCGGGAGGACTTGTTGGTTGGGGATGTGGATGTGTATGAGCCACCGAGTGTTGATGGGGCTAGAGAGGAGGGGGAGGGGTCGGAGGAGGGGGGAGGGGAATAGGGGTAGGCGCGGAGTTTGGGTGGGGGATAGGGAGGAGAGAGAGACCGAGAGGGAGATGGATACGATGAAGTGGCCTATTGGGCCTGGGGAGGGGTGGAGGGCCATGCCGTAGTTGTGGGCGTTTGTGTCGGTTGGGCATTGGGGTACTTACTTTAGTCTTGCGTCGTTGCTGCTGATATTTTTACTGCTACTTACTGTTATTTTCTATAGACTATATGGTTGTTCCCGGTCGTATTTAGTGATCTTGTTCATGGAATTCACTCATGAACAACCCCATACCCTTCCAGGCACACATGTTGCTACGCCCGGCGGAACTGGAAGCAATGGTAGCACCACTGGTAACGGTACGTCTCCCCGCTCTTTTTAGTGAAACTATCCTCTGAGAATCCTCAGGGTTCTCGTAGGTCTTTTTGCTGGGCTCCTCTAATTAACGTTTGGATTTATTTACTTCACTCCTGCCAGGTGATAATGTTTCACGAGAAAATGTGGACTTATACATAACTTGGACCGTAATGCTTAATGTAACGTATCATTACATCGCAGGAGTCGAGGAATTATCAGTAAACCAAAAGTACATATACCGAGTCTGTTACTCACTTCCTGGGGATAGCATTGCGCACAACTAAATGCGGCAGTGTCTCCTTGACTGGTTGACCGCCAGGAACAGCGCGAACTGGTCCGGCGAGGTGCTGAAGTGGGGTGGTGGAGCAGGGAGAGGCGGGGCAGCAGCCGGTGGCGGATGATTTTGATTTTGATTTTGATTTTGAGATCTGGAGATGTTGATGATTGATGCGACATCAGTGTGATTGATGAGACTGTAATTTAAACCCGTTTTACAAAATGTGTTTGTTCTCAGTACAAAGGTTTGATATATAAAAGCCATGGTACAGCCTGCAAAGTTGAATCTGATAAAAAAGAGCCGGAAACCATACAAGGATGTTAGTACAGAGGAGACGACAAGCTTTTTGTAGGTACAAGAAGAAACAACAGGACGTTACACAGTGAGAGAACGTTGCGTAACTGCCTTTGAGCCGATCATATAATTACCGCAGCGCGGTGGCTTTGTTTTTTTCCGCGGCGGGGGATGGGAGCCAACCTTGTTTCACAAATCTCCTTGCCCTTTGTTCCATAATAACGTCCAGCCTCAAAGCTCCAATCGACGTTACTGCGGACCCATGCTCCCATCGTATCGAACCATTGACCAAGCTCCTCTTTGACCTTTTCATCGAAGGGGGGCAGGTTGTCGCGAAGATACAAGAACCTCTCAACAGCCTCCTCGTGCAAGTCACACAGTCGCTCAACAGCTTCTTGAAGACCTACGTTCTCCTCACGCATTATGACTGTGAGGATATTAGTGCCGTCGTCGCCCATAGCATATTCCTTTGTATAAGACAATAGATCCTAGATAATACGAATTAGTAACGGTCGAATTTCGCGCTATCAACCTACATTATCAAGAGTCAACAGAAGCGCCACCTGGCTTTCTGCTTCTCGTACAACCGGATGATTGAACACAGAAATGGGGATATTTAGATGCAGCCCTCCGGAGCAGAATGTCGGCTGTGCGCAGATGTTGTCACGGTCTCGACGGTGAATCATGTACTGATCGCGGTTTAGTAGGATGCTTTTATCGCGGTCCTCTGCCTGAGTAATTGTGGAGTCCAGAAACGTTTCACACCCCTGCATAAACCTCTCTTTCATACTGGGCGTCGCAACCTTCAAGGCCGACTGCCAGAACCTGGGGCCAAAGGAATACTCAGTAAAAATACCTAATCTGGGGAGAATCGCCGCATACTCTTTGGTGAGCTGACCCAGGAAGAACTCGCCCTCTGGACGCTCCTCCTCCAGGTTATGCATAACATGACACACAAGGGTCTTAACCTCCCGCGCAACAGAAGCAGGTTGGCAGTCCGTACATGCGTCGAGCATGAATGCCCAGCCAGTAAAATCCGAGGAAATACGTAGTGTTTCTATTATCGCAAATTGGACTATAATCTTCCAATGTGATAATGTAACGAACCTTTCGATGCCTTTGGGCAACCGCGTGCGGCAAACAGGACTGTGGCATTTATCAATGGGATGAAGATTGGACTCGTTCAGATCTGTTGCATACCTGATTGGATATTCGTCGCAATACCTAATAAGCCTGCCTTGGAAATCGCAGGCAGGAACTTCTTCATCCACTCCGAATGCTCGACAAGGACCTCGTTATAAAATGGATTGATCGCGGACGGGTAAGGCCACTTCACCAAAGTGTCAGGGATGTATAACATCCCCTCGACTTCCGATGTTGTGTCAGCAGGTTGCATTCTATCTGAGGGCGGAAAGAGAGTAAAGTAGGACGTTACTCCTCATGGTGGCTTAAAAGGTTTTTGGAAAGTAGGTTCGCAGCGCTCTCCATTTCTGCGCCTCGCTCTGGTACTTTCCCAAAAGAGACGGATGTCCGCAACCTGGAGTAAACTCAATTCTCGCATAAGAGCTCCGAGCCACAGGTACCAAGATTGCTGCCTCGGAATTAGTACCAATGACAGGTTGTCCGTGAATTAGAGGAATATGGACTAGAACCTTCAGAGTGGACGTGAAGAATTGATCTACTAAGTTCGCCACACCTCAAAAAACTCATGTCCAGAATAGAAATTCGAAAGGAAAAAGCAAGAGTCAATAGAGCACACCAAAGACCAAAAATTTAACCAAATTCAGCGGTACAAATCTCAAGCTTTGAACTACTATGTATTTTATATGCCATCCGTCCAAGGCATAGCCTGAGTGTCAGTAGTTGGCAGGAAGTATGACATAAAACCCCACGGTGATAACAGGATTAGCTTTGTGTATTATTGTCGCCCACCAGTGGTTGTTCTAATATATTCGATGCTAGTTGTTAGTGGCAGTCATCGAGACCGACTGCCTAAGCTCTTTGCGTCACTGCCAGATGGAGATGCCTGACGCTCCTGCCCTCCCCTAATTGTGCGGGCCCAAATTCGGCTCTGGCCGTCCATACTAGGTACAGTTCATTTCATTTTACTGAACATTCACGATGTCATAGTGTGCGCAATTTTTGAAACCGTGAAACCCGGAATAAAAGCAGTGTAGTGATGCAGAAAAGCAACTGATATCTAATAATAATGGTGTCATCTAAAGTACTGACGTTTGGCCGGGGTAGCCGTCAGTAGCACTGGCCCGCACACGCTATGGGCAGGCAGTAAACGATGCAAAGGTGACATAGGTGGAGTGACTCACGCTTAACTGTTAGTTTGGTGTACTGGTTCCTCGAGATGCCATGCGCTAGATAGCCGTCAAAATCATCTGGGCGTTGTGTACGAAAATGTTGGCGTGAGTAGTCGGCCGGAGCACAGCAGCTACAGATATGATCCATGCGTGGAACATAATCTGAAATCAAAATTAAAATGATGAGTAGTGCAGTCGATACACCACTTCTATACAACCCTGAACATAGTCACAACCTCCGTCAGCTGGAGAGTCGAAAACATCCCTGTTCTAGAAATGTAATGGCGTGGGATATATAAGATGACCGGAGCATCGAAATCGGAGAGAATCTAGGGACAGACAAAGAGTCTGAGTAGCACCCAAAGTTGCCCACTTGTACATACTACATATGTACTAACAGGCTCATCGTCGGGAGTCCTCGGGACAAGAAAAATGTACAGAATAAATCCAGGAATCTCGGAGAGCACCGTTGGATATAATTATTTAGTAAAAATGAAGCTACATAGAGTACGTGTTTAATAAAAGTAAGACGAAATAATCAAGTGTAAGCCGAAAAGTTGGTTGAACATCATGGCCTTACAAATTTACAAGTTCATCTTATCAAAGCGTATGATTCAGCCATGTAAATGAATTCGGTTGGGTTACAGCGATACTAATAGTACAGAAGCGGTAAAGAAAGCTCGAGCACATAAATACTCGAGGTGATTGGGAAGTGATCCGAGCTCGCCGAGGTTACTAGGCGCTGCCCAGAGACTCGATGTGTAAAAAATCGATGATCCTTTCGAGGATTACGTTGCCGCCCAGCCGCTCGA